ATATATTGCATATGCTGCAGGTATATAAACCTGTGTATATATAGAGACATATACACACATCATATATCATATATATGTGTGTATATATATATATATATATATATATATATATATATATATATATATATATATATACATGCATATATATGACGCTGCTTTTGAACACTAAAACTCGAACTCGAATAATAAGCAAAGGGTCTCGTGCTAGAGCCAACACCATGCACTGATCACTTACGGCTTTGATGCATTTCTTTCATTTGGGCGAAAATAATACAAACGGGTGCTAATGCTCATAAAACAACTCTTCAGATTTATGGGAATTTACTGTTTTTTGTCTTGGAGATTTAGTGGAGGAGATGAAGAAAATGTATTCTTGGCTCTGACTGATCTTCACGTGCGTGTGTGTGTTCATGTTTATTTTCAATGGCTGTCGATTTCTGTACACTCTTGAAAACACACTGTACACACAAAATAATCCTGGGTACACCCAACACACATTTCAAACTAAGAAATCAATTGTCAGCCTTAAACAGATGCGGTGGTTAACCCATGAGATTTGTATGGCAAAATGCCTTCAGAAAAATAACGCAATTAAATATATATGTGATGTGTAATATATGTAGCATTTAATAAAACATCTTCTGTAACAATAAAATTCACAGGATGATTTTCGATATACTTTTAGCAAGTTTGATTTAGAGCGTTATTTAAAATATGATGTGCAAAAGAAAACTGATCTTTATTTAAACAAAATATAGTCAATTCAGTGTCAGACTTAGCAGCTGTTTTATTCATCTGAAATGATGGTGGGGCATGGGAAGTATTTGCGGCGAAATGACTCAGTCCAGCGCGCTCATGGTTGTTCATGGGGCGCGGTGGCATTTCCTCGCAAGGGTGAAGGCAGCACCATATAACTCCATCTTAAAAATACCACGCCTTCTTTGTGCAAACATGTCTTGATACCAGAGTGTTTACAGGATGAATGCGAAAATGGGGAATATTGAAATAGCAATGATAAAAGAAAAATGATTCATCCTTAAACACACTGATAACGAAACATACGTTGAAAAGCACGTAATCTAGAAGTTAAATACAACACACTTCAAACAACAAGAAATAAGAAAGTCACACTTACAATTTCTGAATCTGGGCTCTGCGACAGGAGCGGAAGCAAAGAACAGTACATTAAAGCTTAGCAAAGTTATTGTTTGTCTATGCTTTGGAAAGGGACACGGGTTTCACAGTGATGAGTAACAGAGGTGGAGTGTTGTGAGGGTGTGTGCTGGTTTGGAAAAAGCTCTACTGCAGGTGATGAGCAGAGTCTCGTTATCATTCAGGAACCCTTGCTTCTTTATTCTGTTATATTTATTCATTTATTACTCTTATTGATGGGCTGATTTATCTGTGGCCATAATTATGCAGAATAGCATAATCCCATTATGGAATCTTAACCCTTTTTAACTTTTGGCATTTCTGAGACTTATGGGTAATAGAAACAATAATGATTATGAATTAATCATCTCACGTGGCATTTCCTTTTGTATACTTTTATAAAGTTATTTAGCATCACTCTCTTTAGTAGGTCAAAACATCAGCCCATATTTCCCTAGTGCAAAGGGCTCAAGTTTCACCTCTACGTGTGACTGAGAAGCTTGTATACTTTCCCTACCCATCGTAGCTGTCATTGTGCACTGAACGGTCGAATACTGTCGAGGATTTTCGTTTGTTGCTGTTCAGGTCGACGGCATGGCTCTCCTTATAGTCGTAGTGGTCCCCTTTACTCGCGTAATAACTATCTCTTCGCGAGGATCTATTTTCAAAAGAGAAATCGTTTTCCAAAGTATCCTCGCGTCGAGAGTGGTATTTCGAGAAGGAACTCGTCTCGTTCATCTGCAAACTCTCCCGCCGCGAGGACGAGCTCTGATTCACGGACACTCGCGAGTCCCTCCTCACCCTCGAACTCTCCGAACTTGACACCGAACTCTTTCTCGAACTGAGAGAGAAGACATCAGCACTTTCAGCTCCCGCCGCCGTCCTCTGCGACCACTGCATCGAACTCCGAGCTCTCGAGGACATTGTTTCGTTTGCGTAGTTTCGTATCGCGTTCGAAAGCCTTTCAGCCGCCTCGCTGCCGAAAGGAAAGCGGAATGTTGACGGGCGTGAGGTCGAGGCCTGACTGCGGGAGGCAGGCCGACCGAATGCCCCCTCGGAGGTGTTTAGATAATGGTTATGAGCTAATGATGAGTAACGGCGAGGAGGCGGTCACTCTCACGCCCGGGCGCCTCTGCCCTTGCCAAGATCAGCCGCTAAGCGTGATAAACCAAGCTATATATACTCGGCAATCATAACCTCGTCTTGTGCCTCGAGGAAAAAATGGAAGTTTCTGCAGAAGGAATTAGACGGAGGATGTTATTCTGAGGTCTTGCGCGTCACCCTCATCCCAGCTGGGGAGGCGGCGGAAGAGCACATGTCAAGCGCAGATCTTGCAAACGGTTGCAAA